CGCCATGAGCATGAGGCTCCTCTTTGCACTTCCCCAGGCCAGTGACGATGAGACTAGATCCCCCTTGGGAATTGTTTTTTTTGTTTATATAAATCCCAAGAGGATATCAAGAATATTGCTTTTATTAAGGTTTCCGAAGGGGAGTATAGGAGATAGTGGTACCCATTCGACAGAGCTGCTGCAACCCGGTGGACGTGCAAGACCTTGAAGGGCACTTCTCGGAGTGGGAGCGGCGGAATATTCGGGTGACACTGGGCAACGCGAGCTTCATGGTCTACGGCCTTTCTGTGGTCTACCTTTTTGCCTGCTTTTGCCTGGCCTTGGTGATGGCAATTAACCTGGAGGACGCGAACTACTGGCACCTGGCCAACCTGGCTTGGGGCGTGTTCCTCTTCGCCATTTTGATCAGGTGGGTGCTTCGCAAAGTATACCCCTATACAATCTCATAAAAAGGGCTGCCTGCAATCCCTTCTGAGCACTCTATACCCCTTGGGGTCCCCCAGACCCCCCTTTGAAAGAAGCTGCCAGGTACTTCAACTTCTCCGATTGGGCGAAGAGGCCTGGTGGCCTGAATGTAGGAAGGAGCCCCAAAGCCCAGAGCTTCAGGCGGAGCTTCGCGTCTAGTCCCTAAACCGTAAACCCCCTGCAACCCTAAAACCCTAAACCCTAAACCCTCAAACCCTAACACCCTAAACCCTTGCAAAACTCCAAAACCCTAAACCCTACAACCCTAAAATCCTAAACCCTAAAACCCTAAACCCCATGCAAAACCCCAAAACCCTAAACCCTATCACCCTACACCCCAAACCCCAAAGCCCAAACCCCAAACCCTAAACCCTAAACCCTCAACCCTAAACCCTCAACCCTAAACCCTAAACCCTAAACCCCAAACCCCAAACCCGAAATCACCAGGTACTCCAAGGAGAGTACGCCAGTGCGGCTCGTGCAAGGCGGGATTTTTTTTTGAAACAACGGAGGCCCTTCGGGGACTCAAGGATAGAAGGAGGGATGATACGGGGAATTCTATAGGTGCGCGCGGCCATTCACGCCGAATCGCGTCAGGGCCCTGTCCTACCGGCTTACGACAACATCGATTCCGGTACCGAATTGTACTGCAATTCAACGAAAAATCCTCCCGGATACCCGCGACATTGACACTCCATTGACACTCCATTGACACGCCATTCACGTCGTATCACGTCGTATCGCTCCCTCCGGCTTCCAGCACTCAAGTTGTATTCCACTTCAACGAATATTCTCCCGGATACCCGCCATCCCATTCATGTGCCATTCACGCTGTATCGCGTCCCTCCGGCTCACGGAAATATCGATTCCAGTTCAACGAAAGTCCTCCCACCTTCCCGCGCCATCTCCGCCATTCACGCAGTATCGGTCTCTCGCGTTTTGAACCCAACCGAGCACCCAACCAGGTTTAAACCCAGGTTTGAACCGGTTCAAACCCAGGTTCAAACCCAGGGGTGGTTTAGGTCAATTCTCGACTTCTCTGATTTTCAAATGGGGGGCTGCGCCCCCAGCCCCCCCGCTTTAGATTCTAGTTCTCTATTAATTCCTCTGATTTCGAATAATTAAGCGCTCTAATCCTTTTTTTATCCTTGTATGTCTCCTGGGGTCCCTGAGGCCCCCCTTTGTGAGAATCGCCCTCGACCCTAGACCCCAAACCCCGAACCCCTAAACCCTAAACCCTAAACCCTAAACCCTAAACCCTAAACCCTAAACCCTAAACCCTAAACCCTAAACCCTAAACCCTAAACCCTAAACCCTAAACCAGGTGAGGGGCGCTACCAGGAGGCCTTGGCGTTCCGACCGAAGCGGCCGCTGGCGCCCAGCGCCTTGGGTGCTCCCAGTGCGGAGCCATGAGCTGCCTCCCCCGGAGGCCCAGGGTTTAGGGGTTTTAGGGTTTAGGGTTTAGGGGTTTTAGGGTGTTGGGGTTTAGGGTGTTGGGGTTGGGGGTTTAGGGGTTTTAGGGTTTAGGGTTTAGGGTGTTGGGGTTTCAGGGTGTTGGGGTTTTAGGGTTTAGGGTTTTAGGGTTTGGGGTTTAGGGTTTTGGGGTTTGGGGTTTTAGGGTTTAGGGGTTTTAGGGTTTAGGGTTTTAGGGTTTAGGGTTTGGGGTTTTAGGGTTTTGGGGTTTTAGGGTTTAGGGGTTTAGGGTTTTAGGGTTTAGGGTTTGGGGTTTTAGGGTTTTGGGGTTTTAGGGTTTAGGGGTTTAGGGTTTTAGGGTTTAGGGTTTGGGGTTTTAGGGTTTTGGGGTTTTAGGGCTTCAGGGTTTTAGGGTTTTGGGGTTTTGGGGTTGGGGGTTTTAGGGTTTTAGGGTTTCAGGGTTTTGAGGTTTTAGGGTTTTGGGGTTTAGGGTTTTAGGGTTTTAGGGCTTTAGGGTTTTAGGGTTTTAGGGTTTTGGGGTTGGGGGTTTTAGGGTTTTAGGGTTTTAGGGTTGTAGGGTTTTAGGGTTTTAGGGTTTTGGGGTTTTAGGGTGTACTTTTGGAGTTTAGGGCTTGGCAGGTATATTGGGTATATCGGAAAATGGGGTATGTTGGGGTATATTGGAATACCTTGGGGTGTAGGCCAGGCAAGAAAATCCCCTAAACTTTAGGGTGTTGTGTACTTTTTGGTGTATACTGGGGTGTATTGGAGGTTTTACAGGGAACGTATACGGGGAAAGGGTTTAGGTTTTGTTTGGTCTGAGGGACCGTCCTACATTGTCACAAAAAGGAAGTTTTGGGTACCGAATTCATGACCTAGTAAGACTTCCGAAGAACGAGAAAGACCAGCTCGCATCCAGCAGCTTTTAGATAGTAGAATCTCGGAGGGCTTCTTGAGAAGGATCTGTCTTGGGGCTTCTATCGTGTAGGCGTAAGAGGAGTGGGGGCTGCCCTTCTCACATGCAATCAGGACGATGTGCTGTGGTCCTGTGGTTTTCAGACTTCTTCGCAGACTTTGGCACGTTTAAGACGTGCCTCTCCACCGTTGGCGGCGACTTCGCTGCAAAATGAAACTCCCAGCCAAACAGTAGTCAGCAGTCGTTCCTCAGTTGTGCCCGAAAAGCAGTACCTATCCACATCCAAAAAGACAAGCACCGACAACCGACTTGAGACAGACCTCAAAGGTATGCTCCGAGTTCAATGGGGTCCCTAAAGCACTTGCCTGATCTCTTTGGATCCCTGTCTGGCCATAAATGGTGGTATCTTATGAAGAATTAGGGTTGAGGGCTTACGGTTTAGGAACTAGGTTTGTTTTTTGGTTTAGGGTTTCAGGGGTTGAAAACTTTGGATTTTGGAATTGGGGTTTAGGGTTTAGGGTTTAGGGTGTGGGGTTTAGGGTGTAGGGTTTAGGGTTTCGCGTTTAGGGATTGGTTCGAACGGTTTAGGGATTAGGGTCTACAGGGCTTAGTTGGGTACACCCCCGAATAGGATGACAAGAGAATGTTCCTGTGTAATGCTGGTGTGTCAGCTTTATGTAGGCCTCCTACCAAAAAACCCAACAGCCTGATATTCATCGAACTCGAAAACCCGAAACCCCTAAACTTCAAGCTCTTTACCCCCCTCCTATTGCACAGTTAGGCTTTACCGGCGTGTAGCTGAGCCTGCCGGCAAGCCGACAGACAAGTTCGGGCTTCCCGTGCCGGCCGTCAATGTCGCCCGAAGCAAGCTGAGAAACATGCGAACAGACTTGCGAGCGAGCATTTCCGCGTAAAAGAGAGTTTCCTCTTGCACTTACCTGAATAGTAGGTTACTGGGCTATGTATCTATCAGGTACATAGAACCTTAAACCCATTATTTGTGTAACCGGAGTTTTCAGAATTGGGGCGGCGTCCTGGAACTGGGGATGCGTGATGCAACTTCGCCCGTGTGGAGTATGTAGAGGCCTACAGAATTTGACTAGGATGTCGGGGTACACTATTTAATATTGATATTGCTATCCTAGAATCATGGAAGGGTTTTACATCATCAGGGGAATAGCCCTCTACTACATGAGGGAGTAATTTGAGAAACTTCCATGTGATGGTTGTCCAAACACCTACTTGGAGGTTCATGGTACTTACTAACCACTTATAACTGTACTTATAACCCTACAAAAAATCCCCCTAAAAGGCCTTATAGGGGTTATCCCAACTATAAGTAGGGTTATAAGCCCAGTTATCAGTGGTTTTTAAGTCCCATGAACCTCCAAGTATCCGCAACATGGGCCTTGGTACAGGTTCCCTCCTTGCTCGGGGTTTAGGGTTTAGGGTTTAGGGTTTAGGGTTTAGGGTTTAGGGTTCAGGGGGTTGAAGCATGCTTTCCCCAATGGTCTATCCCAGGTAAACCAACCACCCTGCAATAGTGGTATACTAGAACGATTAAAGGATCCTCATACATGCACCGTTATGCCTCACAATAGTCACTGTTAGTGGGTGGGATGTCCCCTCAAGGATTTTCCTTCTGAAGCAGCATCGGCACAAGTCTGGCCCTCCAAGTGCAGACCTCCAATCAAGGCAAGTAGGATCACGATCCGGGAGGGGATGCAGTACCTCCACGCTCGAGATATACCGCCTCGAATCTCAGGGCGTCTGTGCAAAACCATAGCAACTGCAAAGGTACTAGTTGCGGCGGTTACTGAAACCATACACTCTGCCTAAACTACGCACTTGAAGTTGTTTCAACACCAATCTAAACCCTCCCTCCTACTAACCAGCGTGGAGCAGGCAGTGGTATCTATAGACGAGTTCTTCTTTCGGTGTTTCATGGTAGTTTTAGGGCGGCTATAATCCGCCCGGTGATCAACGGTGGCAGTCATGCTGGCAATGGGCTTCCGGTTCAGGACGTGGGGCTTTCTTGGATCGGCATCTGAAGATGGGTGGGTTTAGGGTTTAGGGTTGAGGGTTCAGGGTTTAGGGTATAAGTATAAGGTTTAGGGGTTGGCAGCCATTTTCTTTTGCACAGAGGCCATACATGAGAGAGAGAGAGAGAGAGAGACAGGGACAGGGCGAACCTGCTTTCGCAGCCATGCAGCTGGCCTGCTACTTGCTCGTGCTGACGCTGCTTCCGGGCAATTGGGCCGTGACACAATTCACCACCAGACAAGAGTTGTACGACAAGGTGAGAGAGTGGACGAATGGGAACGCGGCCCAGAGACAAGACATCGCAGTAAACCAGGGCTATGGAGTAATCAGTGATTGGGATGTGTCCCAGGTGACTGACATGCGGGCAGTGTGTCAGGACCTTACGACTTTCGACTTCGACATCGGCTCATGGAACACATCGGCCGTGACAGACATGCGCTTCATGTTCCAAAACGCCCAGGCCTTCAACCAGAAGCTGGACTGGGATACATCAAAGGTGGAGAACATGGCGTACATGTTCGCCGGCGCCAAGGCCTTCAACAATGGCGCAGCAGCCCCTGCTATCCAGCCCCTCACGATGGACACGTCGAAGGTGACGGACATGGTGCACATGTTCGAAAACGCCGAAGCCTTCAACCAGCCCCTCGGGTGTCCCGGGGCCTGTTCTAACTGGGACACATCAAGCGTGACCGCCATGAGACGCATGTTCTCGGGCGCCGCAGCCTTTAACCAGCCCCTCGAGTGGGACACGTCGAGTGTGCAGACCATGATGTATATGTTCGACGGCGCCAAAGAATTCAACCAGCCCCTTAGCTGGGTCACGACGAATGTGCAGATCATGGAGGGCATGTTCAAAGATGCTGAAGCCTTCAACGGGGCCATCAACTCCTGGGACACCTCGAACGTGCAGAACATGATCTTCATGTTCCAAAACGCCCTTGCCTTCGATCAGCCTTTGGACTCCTGGGTCACCTCGAAGGTGACCCAGATGGCGAGGATGTTCAGCGGAGCTGCGGTTTTCAACCAGCCCCTCAATCCCTGGGACACATCGATTGTGTCTAACATGCAAGGGATGTTCGAGAATGCCGCAAACTTTAGCCAATGTCTGGCCTCCTGGGACACATCGGCAGTTACTACAGACAAAATAGCGATGTTTGATGGGAGTGGATGTCCCGCTGACGCCGCTGTGTTGGAAAACGGCTTGCTTGACTGTGGGTGCCCAACAACAACAACAGCTGGCCGTGACGACTGTGGTGTTTTGCTGGACCACGCATTGCTCAACAAGAAGGCTAAGCTGGCTTTCATCAGTTGCCACAAATATTCTTTGATCCAAGGCAACGAAGTTACTGCCACACCGCCCTGGAGGCGCATAGCCGGAGGGGCCCCTTGGCTACCTTTTGTATGCCTGGGAGCGGCCTTGGTGGCCGCAGCCGCAGCTGTAAAAGCCTGGCGAAGCCACAGGCCTCGGCTGCCGTATGAAGCGCTCGAAGAAGAAGCGCTCTAAGAAATCTCGCACGTGCCTTCATGCTCGCCGCGCGGCTACTGGTCATAGTGGCCATGGCTGGAGCGGTCGTATTGTGCAGGTTGATGATACCACACTCCCATAAACAGCTCGGAGTTGGTTCACAAGGGGTTCACAAGGAGTAGACTGGGGGAGCTGCCGTCTTATGTTTTGGCTTATCCTTCTGGATTTTTGTGGTTGCGTCCGCACTCGACATCTCGAACCCTGTAATTAACGGTGTTTGCAAATGTGCTGAAATCGCCGACTGGACCCAGCAGCCCGGCGTGGACTGTGCGATGCGGATTCTAAAGGCCCATTGTCCGTCCTAAACCCTAAACCCTAAACCCCTAACCCCAAACCCTGAACCCTAAACCCTAAACCCTAAACCCGTCTAAACCCTCAAATCTCAGTGGCAGACTTTCCGCTGTCATCTAAACTGAATATTCAGTTGTAGGTTTCAAGTTAGCGGCATTCTTTGCGAATTCTAGAAGTGCGCACGTTCATCACCTTTCTGCAGACTCCGATCGGATCCAAAATGCATGTATTGTTGCACCCAAGAAAGTTTCGCATCAACATTATTCCTTTGCATGCTGCTTTTGACATCTTGGATGTTGACTGCGGTGATCATGTTGAAGATTTTGTGAGCTTGTTGTCATCATGAAGGCTTTCTCGTGCCCATGTAATCGTAACGCTGGCTCAAAAGCTACCAGATGATTTGCCTGGGCCTTGACAACCTTCACATTTGCCGGCAATTCCCGCATGGCAGCCGCAGTTGTGCTGACAGTCCTTGGCGCGTTGATTGCAGTGGGAACGGATGCTTGGAAGCTCGACTTTTGCCCCGATTTCCAGAAGGTCCAGGAGGGCACGCTGTTGCTGGAACATGCGCTTGCTGGCAAACATCTAACCTTCGGCATGCCACTTTGGGACCAGACGGACCCAACTGGGTTTAAGTGGAAGAATGGGCAGCCAAGCGTACTGGAACATGATGCAGATGTCACCGACCTGGTCAAGGGCTTGCATGTTTCGATCCTCGAAGCGGTGGCGAAGCATGCGAACTTCACATACACCATTCGCGTCAACACGAAAGACCTCCCCGGTTCGAGTCAGTGGCTTCTCAGTGAAGCTCACAATTATGATATCGTCTTGGGCTCATGGACAGACAGCCTGAAACGCCGTCAAGCAGGCTATCTCCAGCCGTACCCGTTGGTCAAGAAGGATCCCCGTTTGATTGTGCTGAAGCAGATTGAAGACCCTCCTTTGCAAGATGTCATTTTGACCTTCCTCAAGCCTTTCTCAACCAACTTGTGGGTGACACTTCTTGTGTGTGGCATTGTGACAGCTGGGCCTCTTGGCTATCTAAAGGAGAAAACCCGGTGAATTCAAACTTAAGTCAGGTAAGTCAAAGCTCGACCTGGTATTTGAGAACAAGAAGACAACTGTGGCAACTGTAAGGTTTTCATGGTACTTAGTAAACCAATAGTAACTGTGCTTATAACCCAATTATAACCCCATTAGGGTACTTGAGGGGCTCATAAGTGGATAAAAACTACACTTATAATTGGGGTTTAAGTACCCCTGAACCTCCAAGTAAGGTTCATGTGGCTCTTTGAGACCTCCCAGGTGTCGATTGAGGAGGGCGGCGAGGTTGAAATGTCGATCGATCGGGAGGGAGCGCTGAAGTCGATGTGGCTGTCCGGTCTACAGTTTACGGGAGGGGGGGGCTACGCCCCAGTAACGGCCTGGGGCCGGCTGCTTTTGCTGTCTTGGAGCTTCGTGATCATGGTGGTTGTGGCAGCTTACACAGCAAACTTGGCCACCTTCCTCATCGTGCAGCAGAAAGCAACAGCAACACTGTCCTCGTTCGAAGATGCCCAGGAACAGCGCGCCACCATTTGCTCAAGAATGAAGTGGTCAATTGGTGAGATCGTTGAAGACAGAGCTAATGGTTTGATCCGCTTTGTGGATGTGACCACTGCAAATGCATCTCAAGTCCGCAAGGCCTTGGATGAAGGGAAGTGCCAAGCTTATGTTTCCTATGACGACATTGGCCAGCTGTACCTGAGCCAAAAAAGTTTCAATGCTGGCTGCAAATATGGCTTCGTGGGTGGGGCAATCGAGCCCTTGATCGGTGGATGGCCCATGTCTGTTATTTCCCTTGGTTGTCCCTGTGCGGTTCGCTGGGAGCACGTTGCGTTCTTTGTGGGTTTTTCGAGCCAGGGCTATCCCTTTTCTTGAAACCCTAAACCCTAAACCCTAAACCCTAAACCCTAAACCCTAAACCCTAAACCCTAAACCCTAAACCCTAAACCCTAAACCCTAAACCCTAAACCCTAAACCCTAAACCCTAAACCCTAAACCCAGGGATGCAGCCAAGGTCCCCTTCTGCTCCTCACCTCATTGGCGGTTGCTATGAAGGTACTCGACCAGCAAGGTGGAGGTTTCCGAAATTAGGGGTGCCTTAACGTATCGGGTCCGTATTCTAAGAGAATCCTACCATTTGGGGGGCTTTTTTAAGGTCTCTTGTTTTTCGTAAACCGCCAGGTGCCCTGCAGGAGATCTGGGACACCTTTGCCACAAGCTTGGCAGACATGGAGGCTTGCAGCAACTCAGAAGTAGAGTAGGTCACCTTTGAACCTTTTTGGGAATTATTCGAATCCCCACAAAAATCCCACAGGCGAACCTTGAATTCCCACAGGCTACTGGACAACTAAGGCAAGCCCGAGGTGGCCGACGACGGCTCCATGGGTGTCCGTGAGATGATGGGCGTGCTCTTCGTGCACACGGTCTTCTTAGGGGTGGCTGGAGCTGCCTGGTATTACTACAAGAACAAGGCCCAGCGACCCCAACCACCCCAAAAAAGAGGTTGAAGGAATCTTCCGAAAACCATGGTAAGGAACCCCATGATAATTTGAGGAACATGTCCTTAAAACCACACAAGACCCTATCATTTAAGGAACATCTCCTTAATTGAAGGGGTGTTGGAGTCTCTCGTCTGGGAGGAAGGCAACGACGCCGCGTCGAGGCCCTTGACTCGATGCTTCCAAGACGACGAGGAGGAGTCGGCGTCCAACAGCGCGGAAGAGGCAAGGGTCTCATAGGGTTTAGGGTTTAGGGTTTAGGGAAAGGGTTTAGGGTTTAGGGTCTCGAGTTGTTGCCGAAAGGATGGCTCATGGTTGGAGTTTTTGCGGCTTGTGATAGGTGGTTTTAGGCTTTAGGGTTTAGGGTTTGGGGTTTAGGGTTTCAACAGCTCAGCTTCAAATTCATCACACTAACCCCTAAACCCTAAACTCTAAAAGAAACCCTAGGAGAAGTGGGGCCAGTTCGACAGAGCCTACAACGAAGCCTTCGAAGCGCTGCAGCGGATGAAGCAGTTCAGGGAGGCATCTTCGTGAGTGCGCATAGGGTTTAGGGTTTAGGGTTTAGGATTTAGGGTTTAGGGTTTAGGGTGAGTGCGCGAGCACCGTAGCGAGATCTATGGAAGTTTTCCATGTGGCCGAGCTGGCCTTGAACCTTCCGTGCGTTCAGAGATTCTCGACGCAAAAGACAGAAAGGCACGTCCCAGAGCACCTGAGAGCAAGATCAGAGCATCATGCTTTGCAAGAATATTCCCACGCCTTGCAGGCTCGAGAACGATGTGGGGTGAATAGTGTGCATCCAGCTACATCCACACCCTGCCTGATATCCATGTAATGGTGAGCCCTTGAAAAGGAATCCGGGATCTTGCCGTGGCTTTTCGCCGCGGTGCCGAAGGGTTGCGTGTGCTATCCGATGCTAGGTTGTGGAGGTTGGAGCACGTTTTGACAAGTTCTCTCTAGTGGCGAGTGCCATGCTGATCTCCATCAACAAGCGCTGATACTCCCAAGTTGCGCCGCTCATCATGGCTCTGCTCGGCCCCCGGTGAGCATGGATGAAAGCCCATTCGGTAGTTTCGCTGGATGCGGGAATCTGTTCTGGATAGAATGAGATGCGAGTGATTGATTGTTCCAAAGTTGAAGATGCAGTGTATGTCACCTTGTGGTGAAGGCTCATCTGAGAAACCAGTACTTGCCCTTCTCACTTGATGTTTTGCCAGGCATCCGTGTGTTCGTTCTGCTGTTGTTGCAGAGGCCGCAAGAGCCGGTGGTCCCAGTTGAGACCTTAGCGTGCTGCGGCACAGCTCCTTCCGCCATGTCCCGTGGCGTGCCGCGTAGGAGCTCTGCCAGCCCTTTCAGCTGCCTTGACTTTGAGCCTTTGCCCTTCTGGCTTGTTTTGGCTCAGGTGGAGCCTGTGACCAACGTGCCGAATGAGGATGGAGGTGAGCAGCTCAGATGTTAGGTACCTAGCAGACTTGAGAGGCTCTGTAGCCGGAAACCGCGCAGCTATCTGTGTGGCCCAGGCAGACCGGATGTTGTGGCGCAGGGACTCGACCGAAATCGCGACGGCTTCCCGCCTAGACTACAGGCAGGATGCCCGGATTTCCAGGGATTGTGAGAGTTGGTGTTGGTCTAGGGTATAGGGTATAGGGTTTAGGGTTTAGGGTTTAGGGTTTAGGTTTAGACCTTCAAAAGGGGTTTACCTCGCTGCAACACGTCATGAGGAAGCAAGTAGAGGGGCTGGAGTGCCCCTACCCAAACCCAGAAACCCTAAGCCCTAAACCCTAAACCCTAAACCCTATATGAACCCTAAACAAACCCTAAACAAACCCTAAACCCTAAACCCTAAACCAAAAAACCCTAAACCAAAAAAGCCCCAAACCCTAAACCCGAAACCCTAAACCCTAAACCCTAAACCCTAAACCCTAAACCCTAAACCCTAAACCCTAAACCCTAAACCCTAAACCCTAAACCCTAAACCCTAAACCCTAAACCCTAAACCCTAAACCCTAAACCCTAAACCCTAACCCTGATGTGCCGAGCCGCCTCGATCGCAGGCCCCCATGAGCCATGGCTGTGGCAACACCTACATGGCCGGGACTTCTTTGCATCCTGCTTCTGCTACCATTTCCTTAAGCACCCCCCCAAAAAAACACAAAATGGTCTTCCTCACAAGGGTAATCCCCTATAGGGATGAAGAACCCCCCAAAAACGCAAGATCGTCTTCCTTATAAGGGTAAAATGGGGAGTATATCTTTTCTTTTGGGGCTTCTTAAGCAAATGGTAATCTGCCAGCACGCAGGCATCCTCGCCAGCGAAGTCATGACTTTCGACAGTAAGAGAGGTAGGTGTGCAGGGGTTCCCGAAATTAGGGGTACTCTTTGGGAGTCCTGAATATATGGGGGATCCTACTATTTAGGGAACTCTATTGAGGTTCCCTATTTCGTTGTCCGTCAGGTGGGCACTTCCTTTGAATTTGCCCTGCACAGGCTGCTCCGGTGGCCGTGCCGCAAGCTGCCTGCCCGGTGTACCTGGCGCCTCCTCAGGTGGGAGATTGCCTGTTGAGGGGTTTAGGGTTTAGGGTTTAGGGTTAAGGGTTTAGGGTCCTGTTTCATCTTGTTCCAAAGGCTTGGGGGTGTTTCAGATGTTTAGGCAGCTTAGAAGGGCTTCGGAGCTTCGGGTTTAGGTTCGGGGGCCATGTGAGGCCCGAGAAAGCCTGGAAGCGTGCTGGCAAGGCATGTTCAGCACTGGACATTTCCGGATGCTCATCGCGGAGCTGCGATTGAGCAGACGTCGATCGTTCAGATCGATGGCCCCGAGTAACCGTCAAGCTGTCATCGTAGTGGTCACGACAAACATGAGTGACAGCTCTCTCGGGGCACGTTGTTGCCAACCCTGACCCTAAACCCTGAACCCTGAACCCTGAACCCTAAACCCCAAACCCTAAACCCTAAACCCTAAACCCTAAACCCTAAACCCGAAACCCTAAACCCTAAACCCTCAACCCTAAACCCTCAACCCTGAACCCTAAGCGAACCCACCTCTGTGGAAAGCCGAGCGATCGCAGGTCATGGCTACGGGGTGGGCGGCCCAGCAAGACCAAAGAAACCTGCTGGGTTTGAGCAGCATGTAGGGTTTAGGGTTTAGGGTTTAGGGTTTAGGGTTTAGGGTTTAGGGTTTAGGGCCACCTTATTGGGGCCCTTGTTATAAGGGGATCCTACTATTTGGGGGTCTGCTCCACGATCTGGCGCTTGTCAGGGTATCGGGTCGAGCACGAAACCCGAAACCCGAAACCACAGTAAACCGTAAACCCGAAACCCTAAACACTAAACCCTAAACCCTAAACCCTTAACCCTAAACCCTAAACTTGCTGGGCCCAGCCCCCAGAGGCCGACGTTGCTCCAGGTGGCCCAGCCGCAGGCGGCTTCGGCAGCGTTTCGTAAACCTGAACACCCTAAGCCCTAAACCCTACCAGGGTTGAGGGTTTAGGGTTTGAGTTTAGGGTTGAGGGTTTCGGGTTTAGGGTTTAGGGTTTGGGTCGAGGAGCAGCCACAAGGGAACCGGAACCCCTCCCGCCCCCTCCCCCTCCCCCCCAGCCAGAAGGTGAATGTGGTGAAGCCTGTGATCCAGGAGGTGGTGAGGGAGGTCGGCCGCCAAAGCTGGGGGCTTCACGGTTTAGGGTTTAGGGTCTAGGGTTTTTTGGGGTTTAGGGCTCTGGGGTTTTTTCACCTTCAGGAAGCCCAAGTGCCACCGTTCTAACCTACCCCAACAGAGAGAGCAGTCGCACTTGGCTAGTCTAGAGCAACCCGAAGCCCTAAGCCCTAAACCCTCAACCCCAAGCCCTGAACCCTGAACCCCAAACCCTAAAACCCTAAAACCCTAAACCCCAGACTCATAAACCTTGAGCCCCCAACCCAAAAAAAGCCCAAGCAGGTGCCGGTACACCAGCGCGAGTTGCACACCATCTTCCGCGAACGCCCCCAGGCCCGCTAAACCGCCACCCCTGGACTGCAAGGAGTTTAGCGGTTTAGGGTTGGTTTTAGGGTTTTTGGGGTTCGGGGTTTTAGGATTCTAGGGTTTTTCCTGGTTGTAGGGTTTTAGGGTTATGGGGTTTTAGGGGTTTAGGGTTTTAGGTTTTTTTCGAGGGTTTAGGGTTTATGACGCTTTCAGGGAGGTTTCGGTCTTCATGGGTTTCCTTGGACAAGGTTCAGATTTCCGGGTTCGGAGCTTCGTTGTTTGCAGGGTTTCCGCTCTCTGGATTGGGGTGGGAAAGCTTTTCTTTGGTCCGCGTCCACATCTGTTCACTCGGCGGTTTAGGTTTTTCAGGTTTAGGGTTTGGGTTAGATCATTGTCAGTCGTGATGGTCACGAAGAAGAGCCTGCACGCTTCAGCATGCAGATGCAATTTACCGTCGCAAAAACCTGAAAAAGTTAGGAGGGTTTAGGGTTTAGGGTTTAGGGTTTAGGGTTTAGGGTTTAGGGTTGCAGGGCTGTTAGGTGCTCAGAACGTCCCCAGAAGCCTCGGGGATCCTGAATATTTCAGGCGCGCCACAGATCCTACGGTGTACAAGTTTCTTGAGCCTAAACCCAAAGCCCTAAACCCCAAACCCCAAACCCTGAACCCTACACCCCCAAACCCTAAACCCTAAACCCCGAACCGCAAACCCCAAACCCCAAACCCCAAACCCTAAACCCTAAACCCTCAACCCTAAACCCTCAACCCTAAACCCTAAACCCTAAACCCTAAACCCTAAACCCTCAACCCTAAACCCTAAACCCTAAACCCTAAACCCTAAACCCTAAACCCTAAACCCTAAACCCCCAAACCCGAAACCCTCATCGGGTCGTAAGCTCCGGAGGTGGAGTTCGTGGAGAAAGCCGTGGAGGTGCCCAAGGTGGAGGTGCAGGAGATCCTTTTTGTTTTAGGGTTTAGGGTTTAGGGTTTAGGGTTTAGGGTTGAGGGTTTAGGGTTTAGGGTTTAGGGTTTAGGGTGGGGGAGGAGGGGAGGGGAGTTTATTAGTAAGGGGTGGTAAGTGTAAGAAAGGTTCGTAGGGTGATTTTGAACAATTCTCAGGGTTTAGGGTTTAAGGGGGTTTTTGGGGTGGTTTTGTGGCATGCTTTTGGCCCTGCGGAGGGCGCCACGCGTCGCAATCGCTTTCGCAGGTCCCGCGCGCTCTTCTTGAAGGCTTGCGCAGTTTCGTGTGAGCGCATTCCGTACTCGAAATCGTGCTCCCGCCTAGGTCCCGTGCACGTTCCGTACCCGAAGCCGCCTGAACCAATATTTGGGTTCACAAGAATTCCTGCATCTGTGGTCTCTCACTGTTTGGGGTCTACGCTGGCCGGCATAGTTGCTGACATGAGTTCTTGCTACTACTACTCCTCAAGATCCTTCTCCTACTGTTGCTACTGCTACGTTTCCTATGACTACTTTTACTATTACTACTTCCACGAATACCTGCTGCTGCTACTACTGATGTAGCTCGGTTCCGATTGTGGGCCGTGCCCCCGCCAGGAGCGTGTCATGGAAGTGCCGCAAGTCCTGCTTCACGAGAGCCCTGACTGAGAGTCGTAGTGTTAATCCCAAGCCTAAAAACCCTAAACCCTAACAACCCGAACCCGAAAACCCTAACACCCTTAACCCCAACAATGCTGGTTCAACGTTTTGAGGTTGTGCTAGGAAGAATAGCGATTGCGGCTTAGGCTGATAGCACCTTAACCCCTTAAGCTCCTCAACCCTGAACCCTAGACCCCAAACCTTAGACCCTAAACCCCAAACCCTAAACCCTAAACCCTAAACCCTAAACCCTAAAC